CCCACCGGGACCAGGAGTTTTATCCGGAGACATAGAAAAAATTGCCAACTTAACTTCTTCTTGTGTAAAAGGTTTGGTGAGCATAGCGTTTTCGGCTGTTGTAATCTTAGGACTAACACCATTAAACTCATTGGAATCATGTGCCCCATTGCTAGTAAAAATATTCTTGAAATACTCTGAAACCAAATGTCCAGAGCCACACCCTCGTGATATAATTATAGCTATCATCTGAGTCCTTAAGTTTAGGAATAAATTTTTTTCGTTTCCTATAAGAAGCTTGACTGTGAAAAATGGGTATTATGTCCACCTTGGTTAAGTCAATGTTGTTTGGCTCGTTGCTTCCAGAATACATGTTGTTGATTTAGTAGTGAACGAAGTTTTCCGCTGACAGCTTTGAAGTTTTTCATAGAGACTGTGTCATACCTCCCTCTCAAGCTGTCTAGATGGACCTTGAGTCTTTCAACGTCTTTGCCAATTCTTTTGCCCAGATTTTTACCCCAAGATTTTAACTCAGAAGCACTCAAGTTAATTTTCTCTGGAACTTCTCAACCTTGTGCCAAATTCCAGCAACGTTTGACAACCTCTTTGCAGCCCAAGTCTTCCCACCATGCATTTTCAAACATGAAACAACATCTCTTATTCCGTGTATGAGGTTTTTCAATGTCAATGGAAATAGAAGAGTGATCACTCGTAATCACTTCCAATTATGCACCACTGCATCGAGGTTAAGCATGCCCCAATCTATCCCAGCCACAGCTCGATCAAGTCATTCCTCCACCCAACTTTCAGTACCATGACTCTTTTCTTAAGTGAAAAAAGCAACCTTGAATCCCCAAATCAAATAAAGAACAGTCCTCCAAAGCAGTGGCGTTTTTTTAGGCAGAAAGGGCAGTGATTTTATTTAGAGTGAAACTAATATTCACATTGATAGTGAATGACGTGAGTAAGAATATGCCTCTGTTGGTTCCATTTTCTAGTACAGAAAAATAGCCTGAGTAATGTGGCATATTGCATGAAAAATAACAATAACAAACAGTGCATCACATTCCAATAATTCCATCAAACATTTTTTAACAAGAAAATACCCCAACACTTGGGTAAGAAATGGATAAACTTAAACAATCCACTCTAAAACTAGAACATCACATGAGGGAGATTATTTATTCAAATGAAAAGAAGCTTTAGACTAGAAGATGATACGAAAGATCGTAACAATGAGCCTCATGTGACGGATTAGAGCACCAACCACAAGCAGGGCAACTACAACACTTTGAAAATTTTCACCTTTAGTCTTTTCTTCACTCTTCAGGACATTAGGGAGGCCCATTATAAATTTCAAGCCCTCCCACAAGCCAGTCAGTACTGCTACGAGATCAGCAGTACTGGTTAGAGTAGAAGAAATTGTAGCAATCTTTGAGACAAGAGGCTCCTCCAGTGGACTTGGAAATGCCGAGCTTTTCCAAGACTTGGAAGTTTGAGTAGAGGAATTGGAAGTTTGAGTAGATTCACATTCACTCTTCTTGATGCTCATTGCTCACGATAAGGAATGGGTAATGGTAGCAGATTCTTCTCCAAGAACAGTAGGAGAGTTTCTTGATATCTCTTTTCTTGAATAGGCGAATAGCATACCCGTAGAATAAAGAGAAGAAGGAGAAGAAGCCATGCTTGAATTGTTGAAGGAGAAGGAGATGCGAGAGGTATATAGCGAAAGGCATTTCTTTTTCTGGATTAAGAAACTAAAATTGTTGATGGGCTTTATTTAGCACTTCATGCTTCCTGCACTCCCAAGCAGTGGCAAATTAATAATTCAAGTTTTGAGTGTTCATTTTTTATATAATTAAAACTTGAGGGAACAACAAATAATTAAATTAAATTTAAACATGCATACTAATGTGTTTTTCAAAATTCTGGGTGTTCACATGAACACGTTTGAACTATGGTGGCCCCGCCACTCCTCAAAAGCCTTGTTGAAATTATCCATGAGGGAGTTAGGGTGACCATGCAATCCCCGCTTCTCGGCAGGTGAGGTAATCTCGTTGAGTCGTTGAAGTTTCCCTCTAGCGGCCAGGAAAGAGAAGAATTGGGGCGTAAGGAACGTAACAAGTCCCATGATAGGTGCCTCCTATTTCTTTCAGGAAAGCCATAAAACCTGTAAACCTCCACAAAGCAACCCCGAAAATATGAACCTCAATATCCACATGATTTCTAAAGTAATTTAAAAGTTTGGTAGAATCATTATTTTTTTTAGAAAAGAGCCAAACCCCTCATCAGTTCCCCCACCGTCTACATAAGAAACACTAGAAAACCCCATCTTATTCTTTAAACGGTCAACATGTGCTCGTCGAGCCTTTGTTTTCATCAAGAAAATAAATGCGGGTTTCTTATTGGCTTCAAAAGCCACAATTTCCTGAACTGTGCGTGGGTCACCTAAGCCACGACAGTTCGAACATACAACGCTCATGGGGAAGGGCGGGCCTAGGATGTACCAGAACTTGCCATGAACAAGTTTTTTGAAATAAAATCATCAGAAACCATAGGAGTAGAGATGCATGGAATTGTCATCCCTCGCCACCGTGTGTCTCCTTTTTTGTTCTACCAAGGCCAATTAATCCACATGATCCCCAAGGTCAATTCTACCAAGGGGCACCTCATGGAATAGAATAGGTGCTCTCCCCTTCAGTCTTGTTTTTGAGTGAGAGACCCCCATATTTTTGCATGGTAAATTATAGGTTATTTGTATGGTAGATGATCCTTTATCTTCCATTTGTGATTCCTTCCTTTCCAAAAATTCAAACTTTCAATGCCCGAAGCTTTCTAGATTTTGCATTCTATAATGGTCTCTCGCGCAATCCAACGATGCCCCTCAGTCGGACCCTTGTTCTGACCCCCAACACACATCCAAAATCAAAGGGTTTCTCGGCCTGAGATTCCCCTAGAAGCAGGGACTTCAAACAATATTTGTCAATTATCGTTGTGCCCAATCAAATCACAAGAAAAACAGAACGTCGGAAGCCTTTCATAGCGGAACTCAACGGACAACCGCTCTCCATTATCCTTCTTCAGCCTCATCCCCCTTTTGAGGGGTTTAGATACATCCAGAGTTACACGAATCCAGAAAAATACACAGATAGAGCCATCAAAATTCTTTTCGTCCATTCTGACCAGGGTTCTAACGAACTTATCAAACACTTGAAGGACGGCCTCTGATCTATGCCCAACAATGAGACCATGAATTTGCAACCAGAAATCAGCCTCATTAAAGACAACAGACTCCAGATCTTGAAGGGGGCTCAAATGTTTTCGAATTAAGAGGCTTTGGTCCGCGGACCGTCATCGATGATGCTTTGAGTGTCCCCTTCATGGAAGAAACGAAATAAATATCAACATGGTTAGAGTTTCTTGATATTTATCCCCATGGCTGGTCTCCTCATAGTAGCAATAGTATCCTTAAAGTAAGCGAGTTTTACTCGTTTATCAGTTACAAGCCTCCCAACCACTAGATATTCTGGTTCAGACTCCGTTCGGTTAACTAGGACATTCTGGACCTGTTGCACTCCATCGTCGTCATCTAAATCTATTATCTATAAGTTTGCAATTGATGCCTCAACAGAATGTGTGTTCATGATGGATACAAACTAAGGTTCCTAGATGAAGGAAAGGAAAATACTCGCTAAAGGGCGAGAGGGAAAAACTGCGCAGAAGATACTATTGCCCTTAATGTTAGCGTTATCGCCGCTCTTGTCATCATCACAACATTTTCCTTCAAAATAACTACACATCCTGTCGGAATCACTGCCCTTCCAACGAAGTTACTTCTCTTTGCACCTACATTACCCTTCGCCGAGGTTAGCACCCTTCAAGTTGTCGTTATTACTTACAGGCGTTAAGCAATAAAAAGGAAACAAAAAAAAAGAACTCAAGAAACTATCCACTCACATGGATTCACTACTCATATACTCTTGATGGAGTATGCAAGTTCAGACCCCCGAAATACATACTCATGGATGTAAAGTTGGCTCAACAAGCCTAAAAGCCTAGGCTGCCAACTGGGCCTCCACCCACCCCTCAGTTGGGCCTCTGTAAAGCCGAGGCCGCCAACCATCGGTGAAGCTAGAATTACACCAACTCAGTAAGATAATGTCATCCTTGGCTCATCAACACCTCACCCGGACAGAGCCCCACACCCCTTAAGCTCGATGCATCCCGAATAAAATGATTGTTACCATGTGCCCTTCTCTCATTCATTCATGGGCTAGCTTCACCGATAATAATCTACACATGACCATGCATTTAACGATGTGAACACTCATTAATACATACTAAAAACATTTCTCTCACTACTCTTTAACTTGACACTACTCTCTATATATTGCTAGCGGTTCCCTCCGTCCCATTTAAATATTCTCGTCCACTATTTTTCGATCAATGTGCATTATTTTTAATTTTTCACTTTATATATCCAAATTTTATCAAATTGGGAAAATGGAAATTAATAATTCAATCTTTTGGCGGTCTTCTTATCGTAATCACACCTTTTGATTATTCAGAAATAATCCAACCTTTACACTCATCTTCATTCAATGGTCCCTGACCGGTCGATGACCTGCTATTCCAAATTATTTTCTTATCTTTGCAAAACATTATGTGATCGTAAGGTGAGATTTATGGTATAATATATTGAAAAGATAAGAAAATAACTTGGAATAGCAGGTCATCAACCGGTGAGGGACCATTGAATGAAGATGGGGTGGAAAAGTTGGATTATTCTTGAATAATCAAAAGGTGAGACTATTGTAAGAAGACAGTCAAAATGTTGGATTATTAGTTTCTATTTTCCCTATCAAATTTAATTTTTCTTGAACATGCTTTGTAGCGGTTTTAATGTATTTTCTGAATATGTAAATTTTATTTACTAAAATAATATTATTACAGACAGGAATCAGTTAATTTTATGATCAGTCAAATATTTATAATTAGCCATTTGGCCCTCTGAAAAAAATGCGAAAAAGAATGCTGGCCGGGTGCAATTCTGTGCAAATAAACCATCCAGTACTCCAGTTCACTCGCATTCGAAAAGAACTCAAGAAGCGCAGACCAAAAGCGGCAGCGCAGAAAGCCAGAAACCGTTCAGTGTGCAACGCCAAGCGCAGGCGCGCTGCAGACCACTCCGTCCACTCTCATCGCCTGTTCGCCGGACGCCGGCTCTCCTCCGCTCCGCTTCCAGTTCTCTCGAGGCTGACGGCTGACGGGAGTGACGGCTGACCTGCTTCTCCGACTCCAGTTCTCTTGACTCTCGAGGTAAGGGTTTTAGTTTTTGTTTTAACAAATTTTAGTTTAATTTAATTATTTTATTTTTTATTTTAGTTTGTGTTAGTGACTTAGTGTGTCACAATTGATTTGTGTGCTTTGAATTGTAAAATGAAAAATAAGGATTTAGGAATGTCAAATCTGATTTCACTGATTTGTGAATTTCTTAAAAATATTAATATGATTTATGTGAATTCAAATAAAATATTGATTAGTTTTTTATTTTTTGCTTACTTTTAGTAGGTATGCCTATTCAATCTACTTCCAAAAAGGCAAAAATCACATTAAGTTCGTTTTATAAGCCTAGTACAAGCACTCAAAGTAGACAAGAGTTAAATGTCTCAATTGAAACTCCTAATATGATAATATCTCATCCGCTCAAGAGGAAGTAGTTTGTGATGTACTTGAAAGTGAGTTGCAATTTTATGAACCTCGCATAGTTCGAAATTCTCAGTTTCAAGTTCATTCTCTTGAGAAGTTGAGTGAAGAGTTGGTCAAATCTGGAAAGGCAGAACACTTCAAAATGGTTCAAAATGGTTACAAGATTGATTCATCTTGTATCGACTTTACCCGTTTCGACTGCAACAACAGAAAGATCATTTTCTGCAATGAAACACGTGAAGAATGAAATTCGTAAAAAGATGAAAGATGAATTTCTTGCCGATCGTTTGACCATCTTTATTGAAAAGGAATATGCCAACAAAATCGACGTTGAGTCTGTCATAGATGAGTTTGCTAAGGTCAAAGAGTGTCGTGTTCAGTTAACGTTTTAGTTTCAAACATTGTATGTATTGTTTAAAAGTATTACTATGAATTTTAATGGATTTTAATCATTATGTTCACACTATTGTCGCTTTTAATTTTTTTTAATGTTTTTAGTGTATAGTCGATCCAGGGTAAACATCGGTCCTGGCTACGCCCCTGTTTGGAACTGTAATACTACTTTGTTTATTTCAACGAATTAAAAAAATCTTTTCTTTATTATAAAGTTTTTGAAATATTACTATTATGCATGTTACTATTAGACAGTAAATAGTTTTACAAATAGGCCCTGGCAGGACCTGTCCTGCTTATGATGCCTCCTTGTGTATAACTTCTTAAATGATGCTAACAAGTTAACAATTATGAAGCTGTACCCTCTGGATCTTTTTTTCACTAATCGGTTTATTTGATTTTTTGTATTCATTTTATCAGTATGAGGGCTGAAATGCATTCAGTTAAACGAGAGAAAGTACTTCAATATGAGGAATTTGTGGATAAGCGTTTAAAACCAGATCTTGTTCGTGCTATTGCTGAACGGTACATATTAAGTTTATCCTTTCTTTTCCATGTTTGGCAATGAGTTGTTTTGCATTAGCTGTTTGTGCTTTGTATTAGCTGTTTGATGTTAGCTCTTTATATTAGTTGTACCAACTGTTCACTTTAGATATTAATACGTAGATAAAGAGCTTTTAGTTGCTTAAGTGCATAGGATGTACAATAGGAAGCTTTTAGAAGGCTTTCTTTAAAGAACTCTCACCAATGCTTCTTGAAAATGAGATTTTTGTGTGACTTTAGCTAATTTGACATGTTCAGAAGGCTTAAGTGCAATAGGAAGCTTTTAGAAGGCTTTCTTCAAAGAACTCTCACCAATGCTTCTTGAAAATGAGATTTTTGTGTGACTTTAGCTAATTTGACATGTTCAGAACCCACAACTAAATTAGCTGTTTGGCATGGTCAATCATCTAAATAATAATGTTAATGCTAAAGACCCTTCAAACAATCTCTTTACCATTATATAAGCTGTCTAACTGTTACATGGTCAAACAACTTAAATTATACGTAGTATCATAAAAAACTAAAAGCTCTTTACCAAAATTAGCTGTTTGACATGATCAAACAACTGATTCATATTGAAAAGGCTAAACACCATCCAAAGATATCTTTCTCTAACAGGGACCTTACCTTTTTCCATTTCCTTCAGGAGCTAATTGTGAAATTATATTTTAGGATTGTTGATAATGCAACTATTTCTCATCTTCTTTTTCTTTCTTGTGTTTTTGTTTTTTATCCTTTTATATATATATACTTCCTCCGTTCTTTTTTACTTGCAACATTCCCTTTTTCACGTTTGCCAATGCACAACTTGGACCGTCATTATATTTAATTCTCTATTAGTAAAAATCTTTTTAAAATCAGATTATGAAACTTTGTAATGAGATGAATTCAACAATATTTTTCAAAAAAATAATTCACATACATTAATAAATAAAACGTAGTCAAAGTAGAGTGCATGAATAGTGTGTAAATTCCAATGTTGCAACTATTATGATACGGAGGATAGTATATATTATCTTTTTTATTCTATCTTTTTTAAGTATATCCCTATCTCTTTTTGTATTATCTTTGTTTATCATAGCTTATCATTTTTATCTTTCCTAACTTTCTTTTCCTTTTGGTTCCGATATCATGTATCGATTCATGTTAGCGGACTCCAAAATTTTTTTGGGTTGGAGGCTTGGATTTTGCTGTTGTTGTTGATAATGTAACTATTGTTAAAATGAAACCATGATCTATCATGAACCAGATACTGAAAATATTGTATCATATTGTGCTGAATGATTAGTTAACACTTCGTATATAAATAATACAACTACACAATTGTCTTTAAGAGTTTTCAAGCTTCATTAGAAGTACACTACTTTTTTATAATAAATTTCTTTTGGGAATGTGTGTGTATAATTATGCAGGGATAAGGTCTTTGATCAGCAAAAAACATTGTATCCTTTCATTTTTTGCTTGCATCTAAATTGTATTTGAAGGTCAGGTATATCATTATTCCACTTGCAATTTATAGTAGTAGTTGGAGACTATCACATAATAATCCACGTTGTTCCTTATCTGCTTGAGGTATCCTTGACTCAAATTTTGTTCTTTAAGCTCGGATTTGAGAAGAAACATTGAGAATCTTGAGAAGAATAGTGTGACTAGCCTTAGGACACTGGTAAATCTGGGGTCTGAAGTTTACATGCAAGCTGATGTGTAAGTGCTTCACTGTTTTCTACTATATGCTATATATTTGCGGGTTTAATGGGCTCTTTGTCATCCAACAGGCCAGACACTACGCACATATTTGTGGATGTCGGGCTCGGCTTTCATGTCGAATTCACTTGGTCTGAAGCTCTAGATTTTATTTCAGTGAGGGAGAAGAAACTTGCTGGGTGAACTTTTTAGTAGTCTAATGACTGTAGTTTTATGTTTACAGACATCTCAACGCCCTCAATGGTCTTAACTTCTCTTACCGTTTATATTATTGTATCCAGGCAGATAGAGGAATATACTCGCCTAATTGCTGGAATTAAGGCACAGATAAAAATGGTATGTATTCTCAAGCTCATTGTTTTGCCTTTTAATCAAATATGCACTATATTGATAATGATATAAATCTTGGAGCCCTTTAACAAAATATCTTTACTGCTAATTACCTAGAAGCTCGTTTAGTAGACATGAATTTGACTAAGATGACATAATTTGCTGATATTGTCATTGGAATGGTTATATGAGCTGATAGGGTCGAGTTATGAAAAAAATTGTTTGAAATGATTGTTATTAATTTGAAGTAAATAGATTCCAAAGATGATGTTCAAAGTCATTTTAGCATCACCTTACTTTGTTATTAGATAATTTAGACAAACAAGGCAACGCTTTGTTAGAAAATCAGCACGACCCATAGCTTCATAATTTAGCAACTAATGCTTTTCAATAAGGCAATTGAAGGCAGGCTCTTTTAATTCTAATCTAAAATGTTTACCAAAGAAACGCTTTTTGGATTTTCTAGTTTTTTTCTCGCTAAACATTTCCTTCAAGTTATTTTCCTGCAATTAATCGGAGCACTAATGATAGATATGATGACATACTAGACAAGACTGAAGAGACAATTTTATTTATAAAAGCATTTCTGGTGAGAGCAGTATTCTTGATCTGTATGCAGGTTTGTGAAGGGATAAGAGAGCTACTCCAGCTTCCCGCAGATACCTCAAGGAAGGAAAGAGATTTTTAGATTTCCATTGATGACATGAATGCAGACTTGTTGCTATCACTAATTCACTGCCCAAGCAAGAAAATGTTTTCTGCACTTCTGGTGTCTGCTTAGCAAACAAACTGCACTAATTGATTCCAAATGGTGGCACCATTCTTGTCAAACTAGAGTTTTCAATATTGTTCAGGACTGACGTTTGACAAAATTTTGGAATCTGTGCCTCTATCTAAAATGTTTAAAAACATTTACCTAACATGTACCAGTGTTAATTATGCAAACTTAAATCTATAGTTGCACCTTATAAATGCAATCTTCATACTTTTCTACTTCCCCAGAGACATGGCTTTTCATCGGAGAATTTCCCGAAGTAAGATTAAAAACAATTTGAATTTTTAAAATATGAGCACTATATTTTTTCCTTCTAAATAGTACGTTGTACATTACTAGGCATTAATTTGGCGGTATCAATATGTTCTTGTTTGAGGTGGAAAACTAGGCTACAAAAACTTAAACAATATGCGCTTTTTAGTTCTATTGAAAGATTCAAGGAAGATTATGAGTTTATAGTGATCCACTTGATAACTTGATTGCTTTATCACAATTGCTCAATACTACCTCTTTCACAAAAAACTTTGTCATTTCAAAAAAATTGAACCTTAATTTTGATTAGTATAATATTACGAAAGTTATAAATTTTATACTTTTATGAAAATACTTTTAACAATAAACATTTTCATATAATTTTTATATTATAAATAATTTTCAATAAAAAAATTTAATTGGTCAAAGTTTTGATAATGTGAAAGATTTTTGGGACGGAGGTAGTATTAATTATTCATAACATTACAGAATGAATAAATTTTAGCTAAGCGCCTAAGCTTTGTTGTGCATTAAGTAGCTTGCTTTGTACTTTGGATGTAAGTTGATGATTAATTTGTACTTTGGATGTAAGTTAATGATTCATAAGAGCATTGAAGATCAGAATTGATTATATTTTTGGCGTGGTTTCTTTATGTTTTGAAATGACTAATTTGGAAACAAAGAAGTACTTTATAATGCAGTGTTACTAACAACATTGTTTACATCAGAAACATTTTCTTTTTTCTTTTTTAGATGTAAATTCATACATTGCTCACCGTGGTAAAATTTACCTTGAAATGAATACTCCTTTTGAGTGAATTAATTATATATGAAGTTTGCACACCGTTTTTAATATAATGGTAATTGACTTCGTGATAAATTGACAATTATATACATTTCTGCCAACAAGCTTGGAGATGTATTTTATGGCAAAGTGACATTCATATAATGCCACTGGTTTTCATCATTTCATAGACGGATTTCGCTTTTGTTGGGATTATCGGTAACTGGTAAGGAATTGAATTTCTTCCCTCAAATATGGTTGGATTAATCTTAACCTGTCAGCTCAAGATTAGAATTGAATTTTGCTTGCACTAACAGCTGTCAGATATGAGGAACTTCTTCCCTCAAAAAAAAAAATATGATGAACTTCTTAATAGAAAATACCATTTTCCGTTCTTTAATTCTTGCAACAGTTTGACTTTCACGTTTTCCAATACACAACTTTGACTGTAATTATATTTAATTATGTACTACTACCTCCGTCCCGCTATGATTGTTCCGTTTTACCTTATCGGTCCGTCCCACTAACATTGTCTCATACCAAATTTGGCAAATTTTGTGTGGCTCTAAATCATTCTTACTTTATTCTTACTTTATCAATTCAATATCAACCACATAAACCACTTTTTATTGATTTGCGTGCTGCTCCCTCTTGTCTCATTGTTAGCGGGTCGGAGGAAGTAGTAAACATTATAAAAGGTTGATATTTTGGAAATTCTGATAGGAATTCAATAACATTTTATACGTAATAATTTTATTATGTATATTAGTGGAAAATCGTGGTCAAAGGTATGTGAATAGTGCAAAAATCACAATGTTGCAGGAATTAAAGAACGAGGAGTATTCATTTCAAGGTTGGGACAGACAACTTGTAGAAGAATGAGGAGTATTCATTTCAAGGTAAACATTTGATTGCAATTAGCATGAAAAAGCCGGTACAATTTGATAATTAAGGCGGTTTCTTCAACTAAAGGAAATATTAGGGACATACAGTTTCTTCAACTCATGGAAGCGTGGGCCAAAATATTAGAGACATCATCATGCGGGAATTTCGGTCCGGTTCATCCACTGTGCTCATCATCCCTTTTCTCTTGGCTTGCAATATTGTTGTCCAGCAAGCGTCCCTTCATCAGCTTTGAGCTCCCTACTCAGCCCGAGAACCATCTCCATCATATTTGGCATAATGGACAGTTTGGATTATTGGAAGGTGGGTTGTGGCTGTTTACTTCCTCACAAATGATGATGAAAGGATGTTTCATGACATACAGAAGTTTTATATTGTTACAATCATGAAGTGTTTACGTGTGACACAGGCAATTAAGCGGGTTGTTAATGTGTGATACAGGCAATTAAACACTGCATTTAACTTCAAATGCTCCCTCCATCTGATAAAAAACCATCTTTTGGAATTCTGATTTCTGTCATTAAATGAGTTCTTCATTTGTATGGAGTAATTGTTTGGCATAGCTAACTCTTCTATGTATCTTTTCCAACAGATTAAAACAACTGCTAATGATTGTATATTTGTATGCTTTAATAATGCTTTATGGCATCAATAACAAGAAACAGCAGTCTGAGGCTCTGCTTATGGAACAACCCTTTCTGAAGCAATGTATACTCAGCTAACGATTGATAACAGAGTCTGTCTTCAATCTTCATGCATGGTCAATGGGACACAAAGTGAGAAGCAGGTTTGAACTGGCAAAATGGCTAAAAATGCTTTGGCAGTCCTTATTTAGCCTGTTTTTGGTGTAAATATCATTTATCAGCTAGAAAGCTATTTCTAATGCTAAAACTTGATTTTGTGAAAATGAAGTTATTACTGATTGTTGACTACTTGACTTGACTGTTTTGATCAAAATTCAGCTAAAATTGTTGGAATACTAAATTTGTGGCCTTTGCCTTGTCTAGAAGCAGTCAATCCTAAGCCGGCCCAGGTCTGCACATAATTACAATGAACAATCTTCAAACAACTTACATCAAACAAAAAGCCCATTCATATAAATTGGTGCTAGTAAAAACCTCACTGATAAGTCAGAAAAAGTGACCACCAAAGAGCCACTATGTTTGGGTGAAATCAATCAATACAAGCTGAAGCCAAAATGTTGGGTGATAAGAATTGCAATCCCTAGACCAATGGCAATAAGGGATGAAGCCCAAGTAAGCTTCTCAGTTATCCGAGGGACCCTATCCTTCAATGCTTGACTACATGAACCAATGAAGACAGTATAGCTTCCCATTGCAAAGACAGTGCCAACCAAGAACATAAGCAAGAACGCCGCTCCTGCCACACGAGAAGGCAAAGCTAGTGCAGGCAATATCATCATAAGGGCATCAGGTTGTAAGCCGTGGACAATCCCAGTGGCAAAAGTGGCAAACCCTACCTTCTTGCTCTTCACATCATAGCCGTTTTCTAGGGCAACTATTGGTGTCTGGACTTCGGATGCTTCCTTGATTCCCATGGCTCCGATCACAAGAAGGGTAAGACCAACCACTCTTGTTCCCCATGTCCTGATCACTTCAATGTGGAGTCTATCCTTTAAGAGTAGAAATAACAAACCGAAAATAAGCTGCCCGGCATCATGGCCACAGCCCCAAAGAGCTCCCACAGCAGCACTTTCCATCCTACTACGGCCTATTGACAGTGGGGCCAAAGCAGCAAGGTGATCCGGACCAGAAAGGGTGTGTAGGCAGCCAGCAAAGAACCCAGTCCATCCACTACTTAGTATTTCATTGCTAATGACTCGACTTCCAGCTGAGGTTGCAGCAGCCCCCCCAGAGTTTGCGCCATTTTGAAAGAATGCTAGAGCAGGCGAAGCAATGACTGGGTGAACGAGAACTAAGAAAATAGCAGAAAGGAGGATTATTGCACTCACCACCTGAAACACATTTGTTGAAAATTAGTTCTGAAAATGCAGATGTAAAAATTAAAATACACACTCAGCCTCAAGGCAAGGGATCACAAAGGCTCTTTTGGTAGAGTTATTTGGCATATGTGTCTTTTGAAATTCTTATTTGGTTGAAATTGATATCACAAACACTTCTCCTTTCATAAAATGCAGCTAACTGAAATTTTTTAGTCAAAATACACTTACTTATCAAACGGGCAATAAGCTAACAAGTACTTAATGAAGAAGACAATTGCTTCAAGTAAATAGAGGCTGCAAAGAAAGAGTTGATTCTCACACTTCAGATTCCTACATAATCAATCATTCACAAAAAGGGACTTTCCATTTTATGGTTCCTACAAGAAGGTTGCTTTCACAACATTCCTTTTTATATGCATAACCCAATGTAGTGATGTGTTGGCAGCAATCCAGCAACAATGGAATATTGGAAAGGGTTGTTTCTAAATTATTCTTCAGGTGAAAATGTATTCTAGAAGTAGCATATTCCTTTAATTGACAACGTCAAGAAGCATCAAATACTTCAGATTTCAGTTGTTTGGCTGCTTATTCTTGGTAGCTTTGAACTGCTATTTATAAGAGCGTTTCAACAACTTAGATAGAAATAGCAACCAGTTACGGAGCGCTAATGCACTATACTTAAAAACTACTGCACAAAAGTAAAGGATCAAATAAAGATTCAAAATCCATATAAATAGAGTTACCCGAAGTTAGCACCTTTTGTTTGTCGAATACAGGTTCAGCAGCCTGTTGGGGTCTTGAAGCGCAGGTCAAATCGACCCGCTTTGAAACATCACCCGATTGAGTTTGCTGAAATTTCGGCGTCACTTCCGAATAAGATGATGCGTATCGGCAGCGGATCCAGTCAAACCGGCGCGGGTCAACACAAGTCAAGGGCGGACAAGCACATGGTTTGGGGTGGACGGCGGTGACGAAGTTGGACGGAGAGAGGCGAGGGAGAGAAGGAAGAAATGGTTTAGATTGGAGCTTGATGGAGATGGGGATGGAGTAGATAAGGCTCTCCATGGCAAGGCAAGACCGCAGGCAGAGAGCAGTCTTCCGTCTTTGCTCCTCTGTGTATTATGGTTTGGTGGGCGGAGGGTGCCCGTCGAGGGGGTGGATTGGTTTAGGTTTCTACCTGAAACCAAATATAGAATCAAAGTAAAAAGTTCTGTTCGGTTTCGATTCGGTTCTACACTACAAAACTTGGAACCACGGTTTAATTAGGTTTGGTTTGTTTCGATTCGGTTTCGGTTTTTTTGGTTTTTTACCAAAAAATTATCATTTGATTTAAAATTGATATAATACTTTGAGGGATCAAACATATATTACATAAAGAATGCAAGCACACTACAACAAATAAAATAAAAATGAAAATAAATAAATATGTCATGAATTATATGAGTATGCGAGAGAGATAAAAGTATATATTATTAATTTACATTGTTTGTGACTAGTTCAAAAAAAGTTCATGAGTATATACGTTATATCTGATATAGTTGAGATAAATATTTATTGTTTCATCAATATGAATTCTTTAAGTTAAATAAACATAAAAGTTAATTAATACTAATAACAAGTAAAAACATATTATCAGTATAGCTACATTATTACGTGCAATGAATGTGTAAATGAATTCACAAACTAAACTAAACATAACAAACATTATTTCTCTAGCACAAGAAAACTAAAAACTATTAATGATATTAAGATTAGTTAGAATTAATGCTTAACAATGGACAAATAAATTTTACTCCGTATATTTTAACTAGTTCGGTTTGTTCAGTTCGGTTCGGTTTTGAAGGGTAAAAACCAAAACTGAACCAAACAACTACGGTTCGGTTTGGTTTTTTACATTCGGTTTCGGTTTGTTAGCGGTTCGGTTTTATTTGGCTATGGTTCGGTATGATTTGATACGATTTTCGGTTTTCGATTTTTCGGACCCAGCCCTAGTCGAGGCTGTAACGGATGTGGGAGCGGGTTGGTTTTGAGGCTCCAGTTCCGACACCAAACTGGAGATAGGAAAATACTACGTAATATAAATACCACAACTTATGACTTAGCTATGGTCTATGGAGACTTTTTTCGAGAGACTGCATAACAAAGATTAAGTAAGATCATTACACACTACTTCTCGGATACATTCCGGGATTACATAATGATAAACCTGGTCACAACTAAATTCACAAGACCGAGCTAAAGTATGTGGTGCCATATTCATCACATGTTTAACATGCTTAAAAGAACAAATAAGAAAGCTACTAGCAAGAATTTTAATGTCAGTAATAACAGGCCCAAGCACCGAGCGATCCCTTCCACTGGCCTGCACACGTTGAATGACAGAAAGACAATCGGAAGCAACACTGATTTTCTGGAAACCCTCGGCCCAAGCGAGGTTGAGCGCACACCGGACAGCCAGCGCTTTAGCAAGTGCGGGGATAGTGACTTCATCAAAACGTTCATTGCAAGCAAGCAAACAATGCCCTGTGTGGTCCCGAATCACAATCCCTACGCCCATTTTTCGATGACGAAGAAAAAGGACAGCATCCACATGAATACAAACCACATCAAGCACCGATGGGATCCAACGATGGTCCAAACAACAGGGATCACCTTTACTTGTCGTCAATGGTTTAAGACAGTGATGCACAAGCATTTCCATATAGGCAATGACTTTGTTAGCCACCCTAAGAGGGTGAAGCACCCCTTCATTATTGCGGGCCTCATTCCTCGCCCCCAAATATGCCAAAAAGTAACTGCAAGTACTGTTGAATGTCTAGCGGTCTCACTGGCCAGGAAGGAAAACAACCACTGCCTAGCATTACTTAAACTCTTCCTGCAAAATTTTAAAGGATATTGTACCTTGATAGCATTCCAAATTGATTTGGAAAAGGGGCACATCAGGAAGCAATGCTCAACACGTTCGACCCGGTTGTAAAAAATGCAGCTGTCCGGGACAGAAATGTGGCGTTTCTGAAGCTGAAAAGTTGTGGGGAGACAATCATGTGCAAAACACCATAGTAAAATTTTCATCTTACTAGGAGCTTCAGTCTTCCAGAGAGCCTTCCAGTTCTTCTCCTCAGTCGCCCCATCGGATGAAAGCCCAATTCCACCCCTACTTCTGGAGATAAAAAAAAAAGATTCTGACCTGGCCAGGTAGTAAGCAAATTTCACTGTATACACTCCAACCTTGTCATGCGGCCATGACACAAAATCCTCCTCACCATGTTGGCTGATTGGGGTCTGCATTATTTGATTAGCAATCTCCGTATCAAAGAAACTTTGGACCAAAGAAGTTTTTAGTACTTTTAGTAATATTAGTTTTGTGTCAAACTTAGACAATTAATAATTAGCAAATAATACATGGCAATTTGTCTTCCTCACCATGGCAATGTGTAATTAGCAGATTTAAGTCTTCCTTTCTTGTTTCTTATGCATGGCAATTTGTCCATTTTGCATGGCCTATGATAAGTGTGAATGACTCCACTATTGTTATGTAGGTGTTAATCACACACGTATATTATCGATCACTGCATTTTATTGATTTCTTTTAATATTAGCTTAATCTAAATTTGTAAAAGTAATGCTCCTTTAAATGTGTAATTTCAATATTACACAAAATGATATGAGGAAAATAAGAAGTAAAAATCTTGCCTGAAATTTAAGGTTTGTGTTCATTCATTCTCCTAAATTTTAATTATATCAAATATTCTAAATTAAAATGCTATATTCAATTGATACGTATCTTCTTAAATTAATTGTATGATTGTTATATTATTTTGTTTCTATATTATTTAATTATGCCTTATTTGGATATAGATGTACCATTTCTTTGAAGAAGCTAGTATCTTTATAATAGCTATTAATTGTGTGTATTCAAAAGTAAACATAAGACCATTTATAGGAAATGAAATTGTTAATTTGGTTCCTACATGACATTACGAAATGGTTAATTAATCTGATATATATATATATATATATATATATATATATATATATATTCAGAAGATTCATGTAATAAACTGAGTTTTCAAAGGTGTTATTTATGATAGGAAATGTTCAAGCCTTTATATATTCAAATTAAGATATAAAATAAGGAAAAATTGATTATAAGATGAAGTAAGTTAAAAATCACGTAAGATTTTTACTTCTTATTACAAGAAACCTGCTTATTGAAAGTACTAAAAACAAATGATGTTGCCAATTAAAAACCAATATTAAACTTCTTTGGTCCAAAGTTTCTTTGATACGGAGATCGCTAATCAAAGCAATCAAAATAATATTAAACAAATGATGTTGCCTTCCAATTGACTGCTACCATGGGTGTTTTAGCCGTTTTTCGAACATTGTCTGCAATTCAGGGGTTGAGCTCATCGTGTATTTATTAATTATTGCATCATATAGGTGATGATCAAGGGAATCTTACAATCACCGGGTCACTATTTTTTAGCTAAAAGTTAAGATTTTATGTTAGAAGTTAGTGACGTTGTTACTCATACAAGGATCCTTGTCATAGAAGTCTCATTATGAGTTGATTATTACGTTGTTCATAAAGAGTTATTATTATTTTGTTTTAACTTAACTTTATATGTTAAAATTATGTTTACTTTTTTACAAGTTGCTAATTGCTATTTAGTAAATATATTGTTGGTTCTTGTTTTTTGTGATGTTTAATGTTTTTTAGCGTCTAGTGAACATATTATCATTCAAAATGTGCTATTCTTGACTCTCGAGGCTATTAGCTCAAATGGTAGAGCAATGTGCAAATGTGCACAATTATGTGGGTTCGAGTCCCGCATAGCCTGTGTTAATGATCACACTTCGGAAGTTTGTGAAAACTTGTAGTTTAATTTTTTTTGTGTTAAGCTTATTATTACATAATACATATTCATAAGTAAATTTATGGTAACTGATATGCACTTTTGCAGGTTGAGTTTGGATTAAAGTCGTAGTTCCATTTGGTAACTGATATGCATTTTTGCAGGTTGAGTTTGAATTAAAGTTGTAGTTCCATTTGGTAACTGATGTGCATTTTTGCAGGTTGGATTTGGAATAAAATTATAATTTCTTCCTGTGTTTTTCCTTTTCTCTTATACATGCTTTTTTACCTCTCTTATCTCTTCGGTGTTTTTTCATGGTATTCTTTCTTATATTGTAGGCTTGTAGCCATGTTGTTGTGTTTTTATTACCTTTGAATGAACCACAGTTTCAAACAAAAGAGAGAGTGTTATTTTTACATAATGTGCAAAAAAAAGTGAACACACTTCCAATTTTTGCCACTGTTTTCCCTTTTTGGACGCACGCTTCTTGTTTTTCTTCTAATTTATGTTCTTTTTTTCTTTCTTATATTGCAGCCACATTGGTGTTTTTGTTTTGTTTTGAGATGTGTGTTTCAAACAAAAAAGGGAGATGGTGTAAGGATTAAATAACAGAATTATCCCAATTAATAGCAAAAAAAGAATTGGTGTAGCACTTCACAGTTCCAATTAAATGACAATAGTGTGAAAATAAGGTCATTTTTTTGTAACCAAAACGCTAGCTTGGGAAACAATGAGAGAGGCAATCAACCAAGAGTGTTTCTGATAGTAATAATTGACAAAAGTCTTAAACTTTTGACATTCTCTAATACTTTATGCAGGAACACTCGAGTTGGTAAACGTTATACTATGAAGTTGCATTGAAGTGGTAGCCTGAGTTGATGGTTTAGCACATGTAACTGATGACAGAGAAGAAAAGGAATCACTTGGCTTTCGAGAAGCTTCACATCTTGCCCTATGTGGCGTGGAAATGATTAGAAGAAATATTTCTAGAACAATGATATATAAAAAATAATATAATAGAAAACTAAGATTTTGTTGGAGTTGACATAACACTCAAACTCGCAAACCAGAGTCTCAAAGTGAAGCAATCATAAATGAAAGCAAGAACAATGTCACATTGACAAATTGTAGGTCAAAATTTTTCAGAAATGGCTACAAAGTAAAAGCTACTAGTGGACATGCTCTTCCAAGTTCACACGTTGTAATGGCTTTTGACTGTTCTACTTTTAGACTCATCATGAAAGCTATGAGATATCTAATCAGTTGCATAGAGCAACTCTATCCATTTCCTGCCAATGCCCATCTGGGCCGCTTCATTGGCTGCATTTT